TGCAGGGGGTATGATCCTGGGCTCTGGTAGCCCTTGGGAAGGCAGCTGCCCCAGCACATGGCTAGCCCTTTGAAGCTGCACCTTGAGGGATGTGGCTGCTTGCTGTCCCTCCTGGAATGAGCGCAGGCTCTGATGCAGAGTCCACCTGGAGTCCCTGAGTGACCTGTCCACACAGCCACACAGTAGCTCTGACACGCTAGGCTTCCCTAGTCCTGGAGAAGAGTGACTGTGGAAAGCATGTTTGGATTTTTAGTTTTTGTAAGCATCCTGTCTGCTTGTGCCCGTGGACAGTGAGAGGAATGTCCACTGTCTCTCTCTGCAGTGGGGTGGGCTGAGCACCCTGTACTTACGTCTGCACCCCCTCATGGATTCTTTATGGGTACAGAGCCTTCCCAGGAGGCAGCCAGGTCTTGCTCAGCCACTGAGAACCCGTGGGTGTTACAGCTGCACAGGCTCCTGACCCGCTTCCGGGGCTCTCTGCTCCCTGGCTGCCTCCTCTTAAACCTGGAGAGGGCCGGTCCTGAGGCTTACCTGAGCCTCCCTCTGCCCAGGGGCTGCCGGGTATGGACCGCCATGGATCACCTCTGGTGGGACTCCAGTGTGACGTGTGGTGTAGACTCACGATGGCTCCATGAGCTCTCACCCTTGAAGGGCTGAGGAGCCAGGAGGCTCAGGGTAGGCAGGTCTTGTGTTTGTCGCATGAATCTGGCAGAGCATTTTGAAGCAGGCACGACACCTGTGCTACCAGATATGGTGCTCCTGCCAGCCTGCCAGAAGTGGGATGGCCACGTCAGCAGCCCAGCTGCAGCAGAGGACACAGGCTGGGTGGGTCAGATCCTTGTCTGACCAGGAACAGTGAGCAGACAGAGCCTCCAGCCCCTTTGCCCTCTGCTCAGTGAGGGCCTCGGCCAGGGGATTCTAGAAGGGCTGTGCACATGGGCTCATGCCCAGTTTCCTGAGGTCTCTGGCTGCGGTCTTTCCTGTTTGCCTGAATGCAGCAGCTTTTGCCCAATACCACCACTGGGGTGGTGATCAGGGGCCTTCACCCACTCGGGTGGGTGGTCATGCTGGCCAGGGGCAGTCGTGTGACTCTGGGGTGCGTGGCCACACTGGCCAGGCGCAGTTGTATGAAAGGGAGCACAGTGTTTGAACACAGAAGGCTGAGGCAGTCTGTTGGTGTCTGGGCTCTTTAACTGACCATTTCTACTTTTGTTTAAAACCACAATCCAAATGTACAATGAGATCTTTCATTAAGATGCTTAAATTGGACGATGACAGCAGTCATGAAAACAAAGCTGGGCAGCCGAGGCTGGTCTTGCTCACACTGCACGCAGGTCAGACACAGGGTGCTTTGAAAGCAGACCCTCGGCTCTGCCTCGCGTCAGTCAATCTCACCTGCTCGCAGCAGGCAGAACTCCTGCCCAGTGCTCCAGTGAGAACCACCTCCACCCGAGGCCAGCCCCAGAAGCCCTTGCTCCGGGGTGCGGTGTCCAGGGGCACTCACGTGTAGGAGAAGGTCTGGAGCCCTGGCTCATCTGTTTGACACACTGTCTGGGATGCAGGGAGTGGGTAGCAGTCCTGATAGCCACTGACAGCCAGGGAGCCACAGGCCTGCTGCGGGCCTTCTGGCCTCAGGGGAATGGCAGAGAGTTGTGTGGGTAAAGTGGCCTGGTGTGTGTGAAGCCCCAGTTCAGCTGACAGGTGTAAGTGCTGTGTGAGTGCAAGCCAGTGTGACTTCAGAGATCAGGTGTTGCTGGGAGACTCGGTGTTTATTCTTTTTTCATCCTGCTCATACCGGTCACCCTGGTGAGATGGGTTGGCTTGACCCTTTTTCCAGGTGTTCTGGGCAGAAAAACAGAGCATCAGTGAGGCCAGACCCACACAGCATGGTTAGGAAATGTTTAGCCAAAGCGAGGGCACACCGGGCCCCTGTAAGACACACAGAGCCTCGTGGCTGCCAGCAGGGGGCCAGCGTGCCCATCTTCCGTCTTGAGCAGATGCAGGCGGAGCGTGCTTGCTTTCTCTGCTGACAGGGAGACCTCCAGAGAAGAGCAACCCATGCTGTGCGACTCTGCGGACCTCAGTGCTCAGTCTGCTGAGGCGAGCCCTGGCAGAGTCGCACAGCAAAGCTCGGGTCACCGCAGGCTGAGCTGGTCTCTGTCCCATGCCCTCCTAGGCGGGTGATTCAGCCTCAGCCATCACTGGGCAGTGCTGCGGGGCAGCCGCCTCTCCTGTGGCAGGGTCTGGAGAGGCCTGTGTCTCTTTCCCCGTTTCTCTGGACTAGAGTTCAAGGATATTCACTGATGGCCCTCTCTGTCCTGTTCCTGAGGCCTTGGCACTCTGGAGGATCGGCCTGGGGCCTGGGTCCAGTGGAAGCCACCGTGCCGTTCCGCGCTCCTTTCCTTACGCACCCCCACTGTTCTGCAGTTGCACGGGCATCATGCGAGCAGCCCGATGCGGTGTTCCGTGAAACGCGGGAGCCCGTAGGCCCTGTGGGACCTGGGCTGGCCTTCCAGCACCTCCTTCTTCTCCTGGCTGTGCAGACTGCCCTCAGCCTCAGAGGCGCGGGTCACCAGGCCTGCCTCCCATAGTCCTGTCCTGTCCGCTCTGCTTCCCTGCCCTGCACCCTCCCTGGGAGAAGCTGGAGGAAGCCTGTGGCCGTGTCTGCCCAGAATGCAGTGCGCTGCTGTGAGTGGTTGGGGGCTCTCGTGTGCACCTGTGTGTGTGGAGGGCGAGTCGATTCTGTCTCAGAACCGTGGGTTTCTGCAGCACAGCAGGTGTGCCCTTGGCTGGACTGGCACTACAGCAGCCCTTTGCCTGCCCTCACTGACATCCTTGTCCAGCTGCAGGCAGTGTCCGCGTTGCTCAGCTTCCCTCTGAGGACCCTTCCTTCTGTGGCACTCCCAACTGTGGCCCAGCCTTGAGCCTAAGCACGCCTGCCTTAGATTGGAAACCAAGTCCACTTCCCACCATTGGGGTGAGCTCCTTTGCCCCTTCTGTTGGTGTCCTCAATGTCCAGCATGTAGATTCCAGGTGTGGCTGGAGGGCCTGGCGCAGAGCAGCAGGAACTGCAGCAGTGACCACTCCTGTCCCCCACTGTGAGCAGCAGTGGCAGCTGGCACGTGCATGCCCAGCACTGACGAGGCTCCTATTCTCATCCCCTGCACCATGTTTCACCTGCAGCGTGCTTGGAGGTGGACACTGTCGCCGCCCACCAGTTCCAGGTATAGGTCGCCGCCCACCAGTTCCAGGTATAGCAGTTGGCTGCGCCATCTCAGAACTTGCCAGGTCTCACCTGGCCTGTGGACAGCAGATTCTGCCCCAGCCTCTGGGCTCTGAGGCTCCGCATCATACACCTGCCCTTGTCTGGCCTGGGAAGGTCCTTTGAACTTTCTGAGCTGTTGCATCTTCATTTGAGGCAGAACCCCCTTGTTGGGGCGATGCTGTGACTGGGTTCCTCCCAAGTGAGGCCACTGCTCCCAGCAGCTTCCCGGTACCTGTGGAGCTGCGAGTGTTGGTGAAGTAGGGACTTGGGAACTGAGACTCCGGATGCCAGCGAGGCGGGCCAGCTGCTCACACAGGGTGTGCAGCTCTGGGCCAGGTCCTGGCAGCTTCTCAATGCCCGTGAGGGTGTCAGGGAGAGTTGGGTAAGGGGAGCATGGGGCAGAGGGTGGCTGTTCCTGCTGGGTGCCCCTGGAGCTCTCCGCATCGCAGTGGATGAGAGCCTTCGTGGCACTGCCAGCTCATGTTAGTTTGAGAACACATTGGCTTTCTCCAGAAAGTACCACATTTTGTTAATTAATTTGGCTAGAATAATTGGCTGGGCTTAGGTGGTTGCAGACGAAGTCCAAGGCTGTGCCCGCTGGCAGCCC